GGCCAAGAATGTTGAAAAAGTACAAAGCAAAGCAGGTACTGTCACCTCCAATATTTTGTTCCCGCCAAGCCTCCTTCCCCCCCCCCCTCTCTCGTCTTGCAGCAATGTTTTCGAGTTTACTATCGACATGGGAAACTCAAACACTGACAGAATATACAGCTAGTCTATGTTTCCTTTACAGCATTGATATTTTTTGGTTCCAACTTTCTGTTTCAGATCGCTGCTCGTATCCTTGAAGCGCATTCTTCTTTGAACAAAAGCTCTCTGGTTGAGTCTAAAATGCTGTATGTAAGACAATGGCAGGCATTGCCAGAATTTGGTCTCTCTCATTTTGTCGTTAAATTCCGCGGCTCAAAGAAAGAGGTAATTGTTTTTAATGAGAGTAATTATCTTTGCAACTGAAAAGCATTTCGGCATTTTTTCGTTTTGAAGAAAGATAAGATGCATTTGTCACGAAAGAGGGTAGAATCGTTTACTTTCTTGTTAAGAATGGCGAAGGAAGCTCTACTCCACTGACAGTTTGCCAACACTCTGTGGGGAACTGTTCTTCACTCTTGCTAGAACAGTTCCAATACAGTTTAGTTTTGATTTTCGTTTTCTTTGTTCTGTTCTGAACTTGCATTTGTGATTATTTTTGTTGTTACAGTGGAACTTCGATTTAACGAACCTCTATATAACGAAGTCCTCGGTATAACGAACGATACTTCAGTTTGAGCCCGGCTAAAGTCACAGTGAAATGTATGCCACAGAACCTCGATGTAACGAACTCTCGATATAACGAACCAATTTCCCCAGTCCCTTGGCACTTCGTTAAATCGAGGCTTACTGTATTTATTTGTTTTTAACAAATCATTATTAAAGCAGTTTGTTGCACCTTTCATTGTACTTTAGTTTGACTTCATGTTTTCTCGTTCAGGAAATCCTTGGAATCGCATTTAACAGAATTATGCGAATCGACCCGACGAGCCGTGAAGCGATAAAAACCTGGAGATACAGTGTGATGAAAGCTTGGAACGTGAACTGGGAAACCAGGGAAATGGTTGTTCAGTGTGAAGGGGAGACCATCACATTCGCTTGCACAAGTGCAGACATTAAAGTCATTCACGAATTTATTGGAGGTTACATCTTCATGTCAATGAGAAAAGATGTCAATCAGCCATCAAACGAGGAGCTGTTCTTTAAGCTGACCGGGGGTTGGGTCTAGTCTGCCTCATTTTCGAGTCATTTCTGTTTATGGACAGTTGAAACAACTGACTATGTTTCTCTGGGCTCTTGTAACCCAAATCATCTGGTTTTTGTTTGAATTTTTGTGTCGCCGGGCAAAACCATGTATCTCTCTTCGTATAGCAGAACGGATCGTTTGAGGTATAGAGCGTTTTTCGTTTGAGTGTCGTGAAACTGTAATCATGCCAAAGTAATCTCATTGGTCAGCCTGTAGAAAGGAAATACTTCCGGGAGCCAATGAGAACTAAAAGTAAAAACAACCAAACTGCCTAAAGCGCTGGAAAACGTGGCTAACCAAGTGGTAATGGGTTTTAGTATTGCATCTGATTGGTTGAGAGTGACGAAAGTGTTCTGGACCAATCACAGAGCGAAGCAATGCAAAACCAATGCGATCTCGTATCGCTATCAATACTCAATTGAAAATTGCTCTATCTTGTTATTCTCTATCTGGAGTTAAACAGCTTCGTGTTGTGTCATCTGTCTGGTTGATCTGGGAGCAACCCATACCATTCTACCCGTGAATGGGTGGAGACAATCAAAAACAGAGCGTAGTATCTGTCCATAAAATATCTCGGGATGGACTCCGATTGGACTGCAATTGGAGATGTCACACATCCTTGATGGTCACAACAATGTTTTGACACTGGTCAATAACAAGATTAAACTGTAATTATATTCCGTTAATATATAGCAATTATCTTTAGTTTATGTGTGTATTATAACGTCTATCGCAAGTGGGTTGATATTAAGCGAACTGTTGTTTGTAGCAGAGCCCGTTTTTCATGCAACTTCAGTGGGTACATGCTGTAAATGTGAAAAACTCTTCTCGTCTTCCACGGATGATTTATTCCTAAGGTATTAATTCGGTTGCGTGTATTAATGTAAGAGTAATTCATCGCCTTGTTTTGGAGAGGTACCTTTATTTTTTTACGTTACGTTTTTTTGAATTTAAGATTTATTTTCGATTTTGTCTAACTTAGAGAGGTCATGAATTCCCTCTAAATGAAGAGGTCTGGTGAAAAAAATGTTGCAGAATTTGTAATCAATTTGTTACTTTAAATATGCATTTATCACCACCACATATATTTTTTTACGTTACGTTTTTTTTTTTTTATTATTTAAGATTTATTTTCGATTGTATCTTGGTGAGAGAGGTAACCGATAACAGCTAAATGAATGATCTAGTGCATGTCTTCTTTAAAGATTATTATTATTATTATTATTAAGGGGTCTAGTGAACACAACGGTGCAGAATTTGTATTTGATTTGTTTCTTTAAATATGCATTTTTCACTAATTTTGCCTCTGTTATGTTAGGAGAGAAAGAAGAGTAACAGGAAATCTTAGTATCTAGTTCAAACGATTGATACTAATAGCGTTTGACTTCCCTTTACAAAAGCAGTTCATCAGTGCAATCACTGATATGATGTCAAGAACTGAGCGACATGATACCATGTACAAATTAATTATGAGTTAAATAAATACTATACAGAATAAAAACTACACAGATTCAACACAAACGAAGCAGGTCAACACTTCATTGTCATTGTTAGGAAGGTGGTCACTGAAGACTGATAACGCGAACTTGGTTCAGGCATTTGTCTTCAAGCAGCTATTTTTTTAGACCGCATGCACCCAATCTCACGATGGAGGAGGGTTTCACTGATGATTGCTTATTTTTTCTCGGCAAAACGTTCAGCTGAACTTTACTTGTGAAGTTGTTAAATTCCCATCTCCATGACCGTTGCAGCTTGGAAATCATAGCTTGCCCAGAAAAGTCAGGGTAACATCAGAAATCAGCGGAGCAATGATTAAATTTTACTTCGAGTCTCAGTAGAATCCACTTGTAAATCGGAAACTCTTCTCATTGCGATCTTGGGCCTTTTGTGACTTGTGAAACATCTGCGTTGTGTTGGTTGCTCCTCGCCGTCCCTAACCACAGAAAGAGCTCTTAGGCGTGGAGCAACAAGATTTTATTTAGCACGAACTGGGTCGCCTGTGACTAAACAGGTTTAAAAAAAGGAACATTTTTGGGTAATTCCCACCGCGTAGTCCGAAATCCGACGGGATCCTCTGGAAACAGACGGACGCGTTCCAATTAAAACTCAGTCGTCCGAAGACGGACGGGAGTGTTCGAAATGGACGCAAGCGTCCGTAATCAAACTTCCGTTGGGAGTCGGACGCGCCTAACGCTTTTACCGAGGGCGTTTCGTCAGTGGAGATACGATTCCCTCAAAGCGGCCTTATTTGTGTTTTCGAGACTAGTCCCTAAAGTTTATTCACACGTTTAGACAAGAGTAATGTTCTGCATTGCCTTCGCTGCTCTTTAAGTGAAAATGAAACTCGTTAACATTGTGAAACACGCAGCATCCCATGGGCTATACTTGTTCAGCAGAATTCAAGATCGTTAAATCTCGATAAATTGTACAGATATTTTTATTTGTTGTGCTATGGGAAGAAACAAGGTAGTTCGTGGACTCAGATAACAAAAATTCTCAGCTTTAAGTGAGAAATTAATGGAGAAGGATGAAAAGCTGTATCGAATATCGAGTATCGGGTCCCTTAAATGATGGTAAGAAGGGTTTTGTAAGATAACAAGCTTTTTCCAAGTAATACTAACTGGAACGTTCCAGTGGATAGTCTAATTTGTTTGAAGTAAAAGCTTTCCTTTTTTTTGCGTGACTCTATTTGCTGAACGTTTCATTAGGACGTTTAAATATACATAATCTAAAACTGTTATATAGACTCAAACACACATCCTCTTGAAAACTGGGAATGCCTCTGTAACACAGAAAAATCAACCCAACCGTTTTCGGCCATCATCCTCAGTCTCACGTTTTCGCTTAATATTCTCTTGTCTTTGGTAACGTCTGTCTGACAAAGAAACAGACGGTTTTCCTCCTCCAGTAGCTTTGTGGCACTACCCACGGTCGTTTTTCAGTGGTATCTCAGGCTTTTTTATCCAGAGGGCCAGGATCATCGTATGAATTCACAATGTTTTGGGTGCAGTTAGCCAGTCGATTGTCCTGACTAATTTGAACTACGAGCTTTACATTCATTCGAGGGTTCAACACACCGGAAATGGCATCTAACAATCCTTTAATTTGAAGTTCTTTCCTAAGGGAGTGCTTTCTCACCCTGCCATAGATTCTTGCCTTTAGCACATGTGGGCACATGTTAATAACACCACAAAACCCTCATTATCATTTCCAAAGGTTATAATCTCTGTTGACCTCTTTGTGCTGTAGTACATCATTTACTATTGAATTTCTTTCAGTACTTTCAGTGTCTCTGCACAAGTCTTGAGCAGTTCACAAAGTTGCTGGCACTCTCCTGTAGAATGACAACTGGACAGTGCTTCACTGGCCCACACTATCTTGTCACTCACAGCCTGAGTAGCTATGGCAACAGGATTGTGATTAAGGGGAGACTTCACAGGATTAGATGGAGCTCTAATCTCACAAGAATCCTGCTTTGGTGGGTGAGATGCTGGCAGCTCACCTTTAAAGCAAATGAAAAAATACTAATGAAAGATTCCATGAAAATCACACTATAAGTTAAAAAAGGATGGTGATTGGCATAATTATAGCATTAAAACCTTGCTGGAGTTTTATTGTGCTGATAGGCGATATTTTGGTGCTTTGCAGGAACAAATGAACTTTGGATATAGCTGTATAACAGTTAAGTTTTATTCTTATCCTATTCCACTGCATCACACAAACAAACAAACAGGCTTTTACTGAAAAAAACTGATGAAAAAAAAAGGTTTACCAAAGAATTTGTTTTTTGGGCGGGGGGAGGGCAAGGAAAAAGTGTAGGCCCCATGGATAGGTCCAGCCTGTAACCAATTACAACAGAGCATTTGGTCCATCTTCCCAGCTAAAGGAGCTAGCAAAGTAATCAAATGGGATCTTAGTTACATGATCTTCATTGGGTTGGTTTTCCACTTTACCTTGATCACTGGTACCTGTAGGCAGTGCATCAACTTCTTGACAAGCTACACAGTAATCTTGTTGGTCACGGTACTTTAGAAGAACATTCTATGAACCAAACCACACTTCAGCGGTACTGTCAGTGACATTCCATTTAAATAATTTTTTTAACCACCCACCCCTTGCCTTGAATGTCCACCTTTATGGCAAGGGCCTATGCAAATATAGAGAAACGGACAAAATTTGGAACGACTCATTATGTTGGCTCATCTCTTGCCGGGTTTATTGTGAACCAACATAATGACCAGCTCCCAGGTTCAAATCTCACACGGGCCTGAAATTTATTTTCAGGCCCTATTTTCACTACCGCTTAAGTAGTGTCCATTACTGCGAAGATCGTTTTGAAATTCATTTCTTTAACCGCAGTTCACATACATGATTTTCATGTATTAACAAACATTTTAAATTTGAGACAGTAGCAAATCATATTATTTCAAAAGGAAATTAAACTGACAGACCTACCCCACAAACATCACACGTGGATCCCAACATTCGGTATCCTTTTAACAAATATTGTCCCATCAGTGCACTTATTTTATCACTTCTTTCACGAGTTCTGTTAATCCTTTCTTGGGTGCTCTTATCCATAGCTGGACGAGACATTCTCTTTCTAACTTGAGTTATCTGGTGTATGTGTGCGATGTGCAGGGATAAATATATGAGAAGGACCTGGGATCAAAATGTTCTCTCTTGAGCCAATGAATGACTAGAGCCGGTCTCCCTTACTGTTTTGGCGCGAGGTCCATTCAAAATGGCGGATGAAAACTAAACTTGCTAAGTTCTTAGCAAAGAAGGTGATATATATTTTCCATTATGGCCAGTCCTTGGTCCAAAGGGAGTCCATTTACTCCACGCAGCTCTCTGAATTATTCTTTTCTTGGGGACTCGGCCACAACCTCGAGGTGAGTTGTGTAAACTGACTGCTAAATCTCACATGAATTTGAATTTTGTCACTGAGCTATTCTCGGATGTGCGCTCTTTGCATGTGCAAATCTTTACCCGATGCTTCGATTAAAACTCCATATTTGGAGCCACAATGTCTCACTTGGTCAGAAACACAATAAAACTTTATTACCTTTTGCCCTGGCTGTTTTGCAGCGACACTGAGTAAAACATTTCAGCAATACATTAATATAAAATATTTCCAGTAAATATGGAAGAAACTGTGCAGCTATAAAATCCGTAAAATAAGTTCATTGTTTTCGTTGCAATACTGTTTTTTGTATGAATTAAGCGGAATTTAATCGAATCCATGTGTAAGTGTACAAGTAATTAACTTGCCACATTATTTTGTACTTCCTGTTACAGAAGTCAACAAAAAGTTCCCTTGACTTCTCAGCTACTGGAGGAAACCGACCAGCACAGGGTAGAAACATTTGGTCTTCCTTTACCAGTTCAGATTAGTGAGAGACTAGCAGACCAAGGAAGTAAGTTTACAATCATGTGATGTGGTCAATGCATGATTGATCTGAAAGATCTCCATATAACTACATACTATTCCAAACAAAGCCATGGTCCCTCAGGCAATATATTGCATTGCTTGCAATAAAGCTGGGTTATTTTTTGCAGGTAACCAGCATACAACTGTCAGGATTGATCAGTCAGGCTGGGCATGGCTTGTATCTGGCAGAAAGTTGTTCATTTGGCGTTTTATTCCAGCAGTTGGAACAAAGGTTTGGATAGAAAATTTGAAGTGAAATTTTTCTTGATCCTGTGTTCGATACCTAACTTAGTGATCCTACATTGTGCAAAGGGTTGGGCATGTAGCTGTTTGAGACATTGAAAAAGACTAAATACAATAATAATTGCCATAATTTGCTAAGGTATGTGGTATAGTATTTATATACTTTGCTCATTTTCTTTGTTTTCCTCATGGTACAGAATCCTAAAACATGAGGTGTTACGGATGCACAGTTGTATGATTTATTTTTTTATTACCACTGGAAAATAACTTGGTTGGTATCATTTCTTTATCCACACAAGGATGTCTATAGCATTTTTCATCAAATATGTGCTGGAAATAAATTGACATTAATTTTCTGCTAATACTGTCTTTGACAATTTTATTTTAGATATTATTTTGTATATTGTGATTGACAGGGAATGTTTTTTAAGGAGTTAACATTGCCAGCCTCAGAGTTATATCATGTGGCAGACCTTGTGTGTGTTATAAGTCCCACCGGAGATAATAAGTTGTCTTCAGTATCAGTGATGGCAGTTACTCCTGAAGGATTTGTACGATACTGGCCTAGTCTTACTCACGAAAGTAATACAGTGGATGTTGACACAGATTTGATTGGATCAAAATGTCATTCACTGACAGCTTTTCAGGTATTAGTTGAGGCCAAGTCTTTGATGGCCATCCTTGTATCATATATTTAATTCTATTTCTAAATTCATTGCAATTTGGTTTGCATGTTATAGTACAGCTCTGCTACCATAAAATTGTGCAGTTCTAGAAACACAAATTCCCTTTTCTTACTTTTCTAGCCCTTTGGATGCATCCTATTGACCACCACAAATGAATTATTATTGCTGACTGGTTTACAGGTAAGATATTCATCTTCAGTTAAACCCCTTTACCCCTTACTGTCACTGGCATGCAATTTCTCCTTACAATATCACCCCCGAGTCAAACATTAAGGTCACGAGAATATAGGAAATGATCACCAACTGAAGAAGCTCTTGCTTGTCAAACTAATTTTCCTTATCAACACCATAGGAAATGTGCATACAGGGTTTGACACTAATGGAAGCCCACTAGCCACAGACTAGTAGAAATTCAGTTTTGGTTTGTGGTTTTCAATTTCCACTAGCCCATTTGGCTAGTAAACAAACTGAAATTGTCATAACATCTAAGATGTCACCAGCCACTTGGCTAGTAAGTTGAAAAGTTAGTGTCAAGCCCTGACATGTATAGGGAACAGTATGGAGAATATGCATACTGATGTTCGGGTGGAAAGGGTTGGGTGAATGGAGGGGGAGGGTAGCTAGCCTCTGTTGGGCAGCTGACTAAGTGATATGAACAGCAATACTCAGAAAGGTGATTCTCAGTCTAAGTACATTTTCTTCCATGTAGCTTCTGTTGTCAGCAAAAACATCTCCAAATTGTGGGAGGGTATTTTGAAATAAGTGCCTCTGTGTTACCACCACCATTCACAGGGTGAATATGACAAGATATGATCCTTCACCAATAAAAGCACATGTTTCTTTGTCTTACTTGAGAAAATTAATTGATGATCTACAGTGAAGATATTATTTAAAAAATAATTAATATGTGACTGTTCAGTCATGTTATAAACAAGTTATTGGTCCAGGAGAATTATATACCATAGTCATGATGCCTAAGTTAAAGTCATATTAGACTAAACTTAATGAAGAGAAGAAATTCTAAAATTTGCTCTCTATTCAGAACTGGTTTGTGATTCATACAAAGACCAGTAGTAATTAACTTTAAGGCAATTTCATAAATTTCCTGTAGAAGACTGTCAAGTGTCAGAACCTAAATGCATCCAGTGGAGTTTTCACAGACCTGGGCCGTCGTATGACTTCTCTTATATTTGGTTCTCAACCTGCTAGTCAAAGAGTAACCGTGAGTTTCTGTATGGCATCATAATTTGAATTTCTTGTAAAGCTGTTACAAGATGGTGAAATATCTTTCATTTTAGTGTGTATTAGAGATTGGAGAACTCTATTAAACCCTTCGACTCCCAGGAGTGACCACAACAGAATTTATCTTTATGCTGTTGATACAATATCAAGCAGACAAGTAATGAGAATAAAAAAAAGAAGTATAAATTATGGATTATTAGTTCATTCAGTACTAAGTTCTCAGAGGTAAAATCCTAACTATTGTATGACAGACAATTAAGAGAATTTAATTTACCAGAATGAGATCTTGGGAGTAAATTGGCTAAATTTGAATGATCTGGGTTCTTTTTTTGTTGAGACATGGAGTCACTATGTATCATTTTCATTAACAACTTTCCTTTTTGCACTAGTCTCGTGCTTCACCAGCTACATTTTGTTATGAAACCCCCTTATACGGCAATTACTAGTAATCAATTCTGATGATTGCGCATAGCATTTGTTTGAACGTTTGAACATTTAATATTACAAAAAAAGTAACTTAGGGCTGAGTTATGTAACTGATTTAATTTTTTTTCCCAATTAAATCCCACAGAATTGGCAGAAAGTCCTTGCAAGTAGTAACCACACAGCTGATAACTCCAGGTATTTAATAAAAAAAAAAAAAATAAATAAATGTGTTAAGAAATTTACAAGCTTTAGGAGAATTTGATGAACAAATACTTTGCAGTGGTTCTTCCTGGTATATGGTTGGCTAAGATTTTATTGATAATGATTTTTTTTTTTTCTAGGGAGCTTTATGTACTCAGTGAAAACCAATTGTTTACATGGAATGTTGTTCGAGTGAGGCAGGGCAGTTTTAGTGAAAAGGTAGCAAAAAGAATAATCATATATATATTGATTGTTATTTATATATTGCTTTGATTAAAATTAATTTAATTTTAAACACTTTTTCACACCAGGGATTTTAATCATTTGAACTTGTCAAGTTTCACTTTAAAAAGTTGCCACTCAAATTTTTCCAATGAATCTCTGGTTTACCTCTGATAGTGTAATTATATATAAGCCCTATTATTTGTATTATTTTTAATCAATGGTTTCAATGATTGGATTTTTAAGCTACTGGAAATGATTTAAAAGAAGCACTACCAAGGCATGCTTCATAATAAACTGTTCTTATTGTGTTCCAGCTTGTTGCTCAGGTAGGACTGGAAAACATGTTCAAAGCTGCTGTTATCAACATGCCAGAGGTAAGCTTACAAACAACTGCTGTATTTAAATTCAGGGCTGGATAATAACGGTAGCCAAAAACAAGCTACAGACTAATAGGAATTCAGTTTTGGCTAATGGTTTTCGGTTTCCACCAGCCAGTTTGGCTAATAAACAAACTGAAATTGTTGTAACATCTAAGTTGTCACCAGCCACTTGGCTAGTAAGTTGAAAAGTTAAATGTCGAGCATTGAAATTCATAGTAATTTATGACTTCTTAGAATATAGCTGTAGTTTGCAAGTCACTTTTCCCTCTGTGAATCATTTTATAGTGGACATACAAAATGGACATGGGTAGGAAACAGGCATTCACAAATTCACCAAAGCTGCCCCAAATGGGGGTTGATAATAAAAGAAAATCGAGTATGCTGTATAATCTGACAAAATTTCAGAGCTTAAAGGATCAGTACAAAGTTAAACCTTATTTGTCTGATAGGGGCGTGGCAAATCAGCTGATGATTTCATAGTGTGGTGTCTAGATGTAGCCCAAACAAGGTATGGTACAAGTTTTCACACAATGTTTTGAGTAATGGAAATTGTACTCCAGACTTTTTCCTTTGCCCTCACTTATCTGTTTGTAACAATTTTTTTCCTTTTCATTGCAGCTCTGGGATCCTTGTCTTAGCTGCTGTTGCTGTTAGGCAACCACAAAGCACACAGCTGTTTTATTTTCTTGGTAAGATGAACTGTTCTTCAGAATTAGATGCTGGTTTATGAACGTATCATTTATGATCTGTAGCAGCTAATCACAAGCTTGCTGAAAAAAATTTATCTATGAATGATTTTTGTTTTAAAAGGTGGTGTTAAAACTACTCTGGCCCCTGTTTCACTGGCTAGCCTCACTGCCCTACCATACAGCGTGACATACAATGTAAGTTATCTTACTTCTAGTGCCGTGATTCTCATTCACTCTTCAGCTTTGTTCACAATTATTCTTAACCTTTTAACCCCCAAGATCTGATTGTTAACTCCCTTCTCTAGCTGCAACACTTTTAATAATGTGAATTGAATTACAGAATTTGGTGTTCAATCGAGGTAACAACTTTTACCCAATGAGTCTGAGTATTCTCACTAGCTGTTTACTGGATAATGTATGAATATTGTAGGGAGAAATGAAACTAATATCATAATGTTAATCACTTCTGTAAGTTAAAGGGTTAAGTTTGATAATATTCCCTGCACTTGATCACTCATGCACATGTAACTGACAAAGCTGAATGAAGTATACGCATGCACTAGGTTTTGCGGCGGAAACACAGATTTTGAGTCGTTCTTGTCGTTTGCATGGTTGATTTCCTATTCTGTTGCTTTGAGGCATCGTTTTCCTTGCCGCTTTTCTTTTACAAAACAACTTCCAAAATCTTGGTACATCCCCTAAAAATTTTCAAAAATTAATTTTCTCATCAAAAACTCTGGAAATAAGAAAGTGCTTTCAACGAAAACAGAGTTCCTCAGTTTTAAAAGTCAGCCCTTATTATTTTCCGCTAATTTCACTAAATCTTAGACCTAGGACACTTGAGCCCGCATTGTTGACCGCCTACCCTCTAACGTAGCATTCATTATTCAGCTCTGTCCATGTAACCTCTTGATGGCAACAAGAGGATAAGTATACAAAATATTGGTATGTGGTTATTGTTCACTTTCATTTGGCCAGTGAAGACAAAGTCTTCAAAAGTTTAGATTTTGATTAATGAAACCTTAGCAAGTCACTGATTATTAAATATAGGACTCACCTTTTTGTATTTCTGCTCTATTGTTTCAGGAAGCTCAAGAGGACAAGCTGCTGGATTTTAAATTGCTGCTTTTGCCACAAAGCCCATCTGCTTTTGTGTATAATTCCAACTCAATAATTTGTGTTTCAGGTATTGTCACAGTCATTACAACTAGGTGCTGAATTTATGAAAAATGCCTCAGTTGCTTGTTTGCATTTCATTGGTTTCATAACAATACAAATCAACATTTTGTAGAACATATTATGTTCATGTTATTTATTTATTTCTTTTTTTTACCTTTCACTAACAGTCCATTTTCTGGTCAACAATGCTTTTGAAGTGTCTTTCATGTTTTCATTTTTGTGTGTCTTTCACGTTTTCATTTTTCTCCTTAGTATCTGAAACAAATGACTTATTAAACAAAGTAGATTTGCAGTCTCCAGCAGACAAGATCTTGGGCACAGGTATTGAAAGCTTCTTATCTCCTCAAAGGCAGCTGGAAGATAAACTTGTGTGATATTTTGATAATTTTTTATCTTAGCACAAACTAATTATTAATCATAAAATTCATACCCTTGCCTTTTTCCATTCTTAAAAGAAATTAAGGTCAACTGATCAGCAATAATTAAGTTTTTATCTATGGTTTTGGGTGAAAACATCAGACTGTACTGTTGAAGTGTATACCAAATGTAACATTGATCTGCAATATTATGGAGTTTCAATGAATATAGACTTTTAATGGTACTTTGCACTTGTGATCGTCCTTTGCTTTGTTATCTTTGCAGGTCTATATCAGGACAAAGCACTATTTTTTTCTTCAAAGTATGGTGTTATTACTGTAGCTATGACAGAGGCTGTATTGAGGTGAGTTTCATAAATATAATTCTAACATTCTAACATTCCACCACACTGTATGGTAACTTATTTTTATTTTACTAGAAGATTTAGTTTAGTTTTTATGCTTGGTATTAAGAAAAAAAAACAATGCAAGGAGTGGTATATCCCTATGTGTTGCTGACAATATTTGTCATAAATGGATAGATTTTACACTTATAAATGGGAACTGAATAGAGAAACGCTTGGGTTATAATGAGAGAGTCTGCAGACATTGATAGAACTGTCTGCAGACTGGTGAGTGTTATTACTTAGTTCTTATTGACCAAGTGGGAGGTCTGTATGGGAGAATCTTGACCGAGGTCGCCAGTACAGACCGAATGCAGTGAGGTCTGTACCAGCGACCAAGGTCAAGATTCTCCCATACAGACCGACCTAGCTCGGTTAATAAGATGTTTATTATATGGCTGTGTCTAGAAAGCAACAGAACATATTCTTTGTAACTTTTTTTTTCTAGGCCGGTCTAGATGCCGGTTTAGATGGGGAAATCTAGACCGCTTTCAATATTGATTTCAGCCAATCAAACTCGGGAATTCAGTAGTTCCCAGTCCGTGTGAGACACAGCCATATAATAAAGAGTTTTAATGGAAGTCTGTACAGGGTTTAATGAAAGGTTTGGTAAGAAGGAGGGTCTGCCTACTGAGATTATCTGTAAGAAGGGTGTCACTGTATTCAGATTATGTTACAACCACATGATCAGCCAACTTATTGAGGGGGTAGTTAATGTACAATGACAATTCATTTGATGCTGTAACATTTTTTTTTACAATTCATTAATATTTTCAGTGAGCAAATGGATTCTTCAAATGTTCGTTCATCAGAGGTTGGTGTTGTTATCTCAAACAAATACGATGATCATGTTTAATTTTTAACAACTTGATTTTGAACAATGTAATTTTCTTTTTTTTTTACAAAATAGGCTGTTACTTTTTCTGTTGGCTACCTTGCAGGTTAGGCGAAGAACTGGAGACATTTCACTTTCTGATGCATCATTTCGAGATCTTGATGGTGATGGTGACCTTCAAAGGCTGAAATCAGCTTTCCTGTTGTTCTGCCAGGGACATACTGTAAGTGTCATCAGTTATTAATGATTTTTTTCTGCCAAAAAATAGGACATAAGATATCTCTTGTGTGAATACAACTGCTAAAAATTATCTTCAGTAGTTGATTTTAATGGTTGTATTAATGTCAAGCAACAAGTTTCATTGTTACAACCAAACAGTAACTAGTACAAAATTTTTCCTAAAACATTAGGCTGAGGCTCAGAGTGTTTGTAGAATCTCAGAGGGAGAAGAGTTGGACAGTGTTGTGGTAGCACTCAGTGAGGAGATCACCGATGATTTCCCTGTCTCTGACCCTCGCTGGGCAGAATCCATTCCAGCAGGTTAGAGGCACTGGTATTATTATTCCATTACACTCCAATAACTTTCCCTTCTTTATCAAGCCCCACACTCTAAAAGAGTTCCTGATAGTACCCCTTCCCCCCTCC